ACCGTGTTTGACCGCGACCGCGGTCGTGAGGTAGTGCTCTAACTATTTACCACGGTCGGGACCGCGTTCAGCCTACTGGGATGCGGTGGCGGTCTTGGGAAGTCATTTTAGCCCTATTTCGTCCCCCACAACCCCAAAACATAAAAACTAGCCCTAGAAAGGAAAGCTTTCAAAAACCTAACTCCTTAAAGGTCCCTCCACCACCTAAGGTAAGTTTTAATGGTGATTCTAAGTTAATTTCGATTTCCCAACGTCTTGGATAAACCTTCCATATCATTAGACATTCGATGGGGACACTATTGTTGAGAGAAGAAACCCTAGAACTCAAATTCAAGAAGATTGAACGTCAAAAAGGTAATATCTTCACCCTCTACTTGATTCTATCATTGAATTAATGGTTATAGACTCTAGTTCATGAGATATGAGCTGATGAGTTTGATGGAAAAACATGAACGGTTATAGGTTTGGGTTGTTGATTATTGATTTTTGGTTAAGGGTGTTGTTTACCTTATGAGTGATAAAGAAAAATATTGATTATAACCATTTGAGACTTTAGAATTTATTTAAGAGCAAGAGGATGGGTTATTGGGTGTAAAAATATCATTAATAAGGACTATGGAGCTTTATGCCACCAAGTGTTTGAGAAAATGTCTAAGTGACCAAAACATGAGTATTATTGCTAATATGGAATCCCTCTGACTTGTATTGATATAAATTAAAGTTGAAAGGGTTGGCGAATGTTATATTATGCTCAAGAGCAGGAAGTTAAGGTATGTGAGGCTAACTCTCTATGTTTGGGAATGTTAATGATTCTCCCTACACTACGTTTCTTTTATGACGTATCAATTGCCTCAGAAATATAGTTAAGCCTAGTTCCTTGAATAGTTGTATAACTTCTATTCTCTAGCTTCATGACTTTCATTTTGAACGTTGTGAGCTCATTTCGTATTCAATATAGACTTAGGTTTGATGTCCCTAAGTCTCAGTATAGCTTACTCAGCATGTCATAAAGAGTTGAAGTTTCAGTGTTCATAATTAGTTCAAGAATACATGTCTCATTCTAGTCCTATTCAGTATTCCAGTATTATGTAACTCAGTATGATTTAGTATTCCAGTATTATGTAACTCAGTGTGATCCAGTATTCCAGTATCATGTAACTCAGCGTGATTCAGTACTTCACTATCATGTATTGCAGTATGATTCTCAGTTCCTGATTTTAAATTCCTGAATGTTGAACACCTGTATTTGGGCCTGAGGCCGTAGTTTATATGCTTTATGCATACTTGGGCATGAGGCCGTAGTTTATGCTTTATGTATGTTTGGGCCTGAGGCCGTAGTTTATGCTTTATGCATTTTTGGGCCCGAGGCCGTAGTTATGTATACGTATACTTGGACCTGAGGCAGTAACTTGTGCACATATATATTGGGCCCGAGGCCGTAGCTTATTCAGATAAACAGGTTGTTCATCATTCAGAAGAGGGAGTATTCATAACATTAATTCCTTTGTGCAGTTCAGCTATCGGTTATCATTTCAGTTATCCATTATGAGTTATCATTTCAGTTATCAGTTAACATTTCAGTTATCAACTATTAGTTATTATTTCAGTTTCAGTTTCAATAGTTACCATTTTAGTTATCAATTATCAATTCTTAATAATCAGCTCAATATTAGTTTCAACAGTTATAAATCTTTCTTTCAGTTGCTTTACATACCAGTACAATTCAAATGTACTGACGTCCCTTTGTCCGGGGCCTGCATCTCACAATGCAGATAATGATTTACAGGTTGACAATTCAAAGAGCTAGGACTCTCGTATCAGCTATTTGGTGATCCCCAGTTCTTTCGGAGCATTATCATTACTTTATAGCCTTTCAGTATTTACATATAGTTAGTGTTTTCAGTACTTCAATAAAGGCTTCCTACACTACAGTAATAGTTAGATAGAGTCTCAGGCTTTTCATGTTAAGCTATGTTGGCTACAAATATGTTTCAGAATTGTATTAGTATTTTCGCACTTTGATTTATATAATCCAAACTTTCAGTATATCGGCATGTGTTAGTTTATCTTCCGCATTCAGTATGTTATGATATCACATGTTGATTCAGCCAGCCAGTTGGTTCGCTCGGTCACATATAGTCAGGCACCGAGTGTCGTGTTACGTCCAGGCCCAGGTTCGGGGCGTGACACTCTTCCACATAATGAGCAGTCTGAACAAACTGCTATACCCCAGCCAGTAATCTGTCTCTCGTGTATAGTCTTCCAAGAATTGCCAAGTACAAGATGAAAATCCATTTTGGGCTACTTATGTTATTAAATTAGTCTCTTTCATTCCACTTTAGGTAGCTCACCTCTAAATTTATCATATACGAGCCTGATGAAGTATTCCTGAATATTCATTACTTCTTCTACTCCTATATTTGTCTCATTCAAGTATTTAGCAGCACCTAAGATTTTATGAGCGAGCCAAAAGGCCTGTCTAACATTCACATTCCAACCTATTTTTTGATAGCTAGATTGATAATTATTATTATTTTTTGTTATTTTGCTTGCCAAACCTCCCACATGATAATATCGAATACCAACTCATTAATTTAGATAGCAACAAACAACTTGAATTAATGATACCAACGACATATCTATAGCAAAAAGAATAAAACTTTTACCAGACAAGCAAATCTTTGCCAAATTGACGAATGCATAATAATTTTTTTTTAAAAAGGTCTGAGGAAATCTAATACTACTAATCTACTTCCAAGTTTGCTGTTTTGTATTTTGTGAGTCTATTTCCCACATTATTATATTTTAATAATCAAAATCTCAATATCGGCAGAGTTCAACTTTACCGGTAGAAATGAATAAAAGTAAAACTTGATTGAATCTGTTTAACTTAGTTTGATCAAATAAAGCCACAAAAAAGTCCCTTTAATAAGATTCTTCAATATTTCTATTTCTAAACTATCATAAGTACTAGATAAAAAAATTCCCGTTCGGCTCTTGGAATCATATCTAGTAGTGGTTGGAACAGCTCGTAAAATCCAACCACTTTACCTACTTCATTGTCCCCAATCGTTTCTCGCACCTCTATTGAAATAGAATGGTTTTATGTTCTTTCATCGATTGGTTATTCCTCTCCGTTCTTATCTCTTTTTCCAATTTCGATCTCCATTAGCTCACAAGATTGAATGGCCAATTCTCCTCCGAACTCTGGATTCTATTGTTTTCTCGACGCCAAATCAAGCTTTACATCGACGAATCTGAGCTTCCTCTCCAAATTCAATTCACTATTACTGAGCTACGAATATGGCTTTCAAATGAAAAAAAGACGAAGGAGAAGGTACAATTGAACTTTATGCGAGAAATGGAGGAAAATGAAATCCAAAAAGGGGGAAATAGCGAATTTTGGTACCGGAATAAGAATAAGAAGAGGGCGGAGAATGGCGGGAATTAGATTTTGGGGGATTTTTTTTCCTTCTATTTATGAAAATAATTATATTTATATACTATGACCAATTCCACTTCACCTTCATTAACCCCATACAACCATTAATGTTAATCTATATCTATATCTAGATTTATATTTATACTATATTAAAAGCACAAAGGCCTTATCGGTTCCTTTGTCTTTTTTATCCTTTTATAATAAAAATTTTATTGCACAAAATTATAATTTAAGTTACTTTCCTACTACTATTTAGGACTTTATATAATCAACTCTTATTAATATTCTTGGCCTAATATTTAGGACCTTCAATGTATAATAAATTCCTTAAATTTAAATTTCTCTTCGTTAGGCAGTATAATAAAATCTTTATATATTAAATGTTCATACACCAAATAATCCGACAATGCGATTCCTTAGTAGATGTGTATTTTCTTTTTTGTTTTATTTGTGTTAAGAACTCGAGGAATATTTTCTTTTTTCTTTTTCTTATTTTGTAAGGAATTTTACGAATACCTTTTTTAAGGAAGTATAATTTTATTTAAAAGATAATTGGCTAACCTAGACCTTTTTCATACGGAGATCTAATTTTTTTGGGAAACTTACACAAACGTCCCAAATAAGTCTTAACTTACCAACCTCTAACCATTAGTCATAGACTTACCAAAACTAGCCAAATACATATAAAAATTGAAAAATCAAATAAATAAGGTTCTTTCTCTCAAAAAATTACATGCAAAAATCACCTTCCATATTTGTAAGCGTAATTAGCAACATAGATGCAAGACGGAAAGGAAATTTTACGGATGAGGAAGCAAATAAGGTGATGAAATACAAAAAAATATATACAATATTCCAAAAATCTAAGCAAAAAAAGGAACTTTTTCAATGGGTATAGTTGAAATCTATTAAAAACATATAAATAAGTCAATATACAAAATTTGAGGAAGATTGGAGGTGATTTGGACTGGTTTTGTACCAAACTTTTGTAATTAAATCGTGTTAAAAAAAATTCTTCTGCAACACATGTATGATACATGTATCTCACACACAGGTATACATGGATATACATGTGATACACAATTGATACAATATGATACATATGTGATACACAAATGATACACAGTGTAATACACATATCATTTCTTTTCATGTTCAGTTTTTACTTTGAATTTCAATTCAAACCATCTCAAAACTTCACCAAATCATCCCAAAACTGAGATTCAAGCTCCTTAAGATGTACTCAATCTATTCTAACAACACCCACTCAAAAGAAAGCAAAAATTTGACATTTGTTTTTACTACAAATAGCCAATTGGCTAATATTAGTAATATTTTATGAATTGACCAATTTTTTAATGAGTTACTTATAAATGGACATAGCAGGTAGTTTTTCATTTTTTTCTTTAATAATCTATATTTTCTGTCTCATATACATTATTTAATAATTTTTATGTAATTAAGGTCTTTTAATTGAAACCAATTATATAAAACAAAGGGCAATTTTGTTAGTTTTAAGAAATTAAAGGGGTAAAAAAGCAAAATACCAGTGCTACAATTGCATGATCTCTCTCAACTGTTCTAACAGACAGAGAAACAGAGAAGATACAGATTGGGAAGGATGATGGTGGATCTGAGTTCCTTCTCCGACGAGAAATTCGACCCGAAAAAATGGATAAACGAAGTGTTTCAGTCACGGCATCCACAGGATCCAGTGGACAAACACCTAGTGGATCTGGAAATGAAGCTTCAGATGGTTTCCGAAGAGATCGCCGCTTCCCTTGAGGAGCAAAGCGCCGCCGCACTCCTCCGTGTTCCCCGCACCACTCGCGATGTCAGCCGCCTCCGTGATGATGCTCTCACCCTTCGCTCCGCTCTCTCCGCCATCCTCCTCAAGCTTAAAAAGGTCGGTTCCGCATTTCATTGTTACTATAGTTGAAATGTCGAAAATCTAAGGGTTCCTTTTTTTGAGTGTATAGAATTTGTAATTCTGAGAATTTACTTACAAGTCTTCAATTATAGGCTTACCAGTAGTACTAGTACTATTCTTGTATTTTCTTGTTCCTGGTTCTTTATTATTACATGTTGTGCCATTCGCTTCCGTTACCCTATTTCATTGTTGTTGCTATTGTTTGTTGCTTTATTATCACTGTTCCTTGAGCCGAGGGTCTATAGTAAGTAACCTATCTACCTTCACAAGGTATGGGTAAGGTTTGCGTACGCATTACCCTCCCAGACCGCACATGTGGGATTGCACTTGGTTTTTTGTTGTTGTTGTCTTCAGTTATAGGCTTGGTATTATGAGAATATAGTTCAATAATTGTGGGGTTTTACCAGGTAGAAAGGTCCTCTATATCAATGAGTAATTCTCCTCTCTCACAACTTTGAATTCCTTCGCAGGCTGAGGGATCATCTGCTGAATCTGTAGCTACACTTGCAAAAGTTGATGCTGTCAAGCGCAGAATGGAAGCTGCATATGAGACTTTGCAGGTAATACTTTTCTTAAAGTGATGTTTAACTTAAATTTCAACTCTAGATAAAAAACTTCCCCTAAGGCTACACTAACAATTGTTCGAGTTTCCTGCTAACTTCCCTTGTATTTAAAAAACTTGTATTATCTCGTTGGAAGGATGCTGCTGGTTTAACTCAACTAAGCTCAACAGTGGAGGATGTATTTGCCAGTGGTGATCTTCCTCGAGCTGCAGAAACTCTGGCTAATATGAGTCACTGCTTGGCTGCCGTTGGAGAGGTGGTGTTTTAACTTGCTTGTTTTTAGTTACATAACAATGTGTGTCACACTTGCTTTATTAAAGTTCCGTGCAATTTTCAGGTTGCGGAATTTGCTAATATTAGGAGGCAGCTTGAAGTTCTAGAAGATAGACTAGACTCAATGGTCCAACCTCGACTAACAGATGCTCTAAGCAATCGAAAGGTGACTTTAGTTGTCTTTCTCCTTTGTAACCCTTTCTAAAAGTTACATTTTATATTTTCAAGTGAATGCATATTCTCCTTGAACCATAGGAGACAGTAAAAGACCCTCGTTGCTACTTTATAGGTTGATGTTGCCCAAGAAATGCGTGCTATTCTACTGAGAATTGGGAGATTCAAGTCCTTAGAGCTGCACTACACCAAGGTCCACATCAAGCCAATAAAGCGGCTTTGGGAAGATTTTGACTTGAGGCAGCAGGCTAATAAAGTTGCAAATGAGAAAAGTGAAACAGAAAGACTATCAAATGCTCAGGATTTTCATTCATCCATGATATCATTCTCAAGTTGGCTGCCTAATTTCTACGATGAATTGTTGCTTTATCTTGAACAGGAGTGGAAGTGGTATGGATTGCTTTTCTTCAACTTTTGCTCACATAATTCTACTTGGTTTTGCCCCTAGGGCTTTGCTTGACGCACTGTGAGATGTGAGNTACATAATCTCTTGAGTTTTGAACTGTGGGCCAACTAACTCACCTGGGGGTTTTTCGGTTATCAAAAAAAGAAAAAAAAATCTACTTCGTTTTTCTGCTGGAGTGTAATTGGAAGTCAAATGCTCTCCTGCTTTCAGAAAGTTTTAATGTTGTCTTACTAGAAGTTATGTTATTATTAATAGATAGAAAGTCTCATTATTGATTGAACTGCTTATATGTTAGATTGACATCTAGATGTCGATTCTTATATGAGTACAGCTACGGAATGAAAAAGATCTACCTATCAGAAGACTTAAAGTCCCTGAAATGAGTGGTTGAGTGGTTAAGGCATAGGAGTAATAACTTGGAGATACCAGGGTTGAAGTTGCTGCTATAAAACTCAGTGTGACCCCATCTGCTCTAACATCGGTAGATAGGTTATCTGGCACCTACGTTTCAGGGCTATAGCAAACTGCTTGATGAGTTGGTGATGTAGAAAAAAAAAGCATGTAATAAAAAAAAATTGCTCGTTCTTTCTGATTCCTTTCGTGGCTTCATTTACATTGCATGTTTTTTTTTGGATTTCTTTTTTCTATCTTCTTTTTTAGGTGCTCTGTTTTGTCTCTGGTAAACTTATTCCCTCCTCACTACTAGTAACAAGAAACGAAAACTAAGGTCAAAGGGTACATGCAACCTGTGGGTGACAGACTGCAGATTTAAGTTGATACTATTTCTAACTGATAAGCAGAAAGAGAAAAGTAAGACGTAAAACAGGGTCAAAGGAAGGAAAAGAGTGAGCTCTTGGTTACTATAGAAAAGCCTTTTCGGAGGGAAGAATCATAGGAGAGACCAAATTGACTGGCATTCATTTATTCCCGATCCGAGCTGTTAAAAAGAAGCTTGAATGCAACCATAACATTTTTTGCCCATTCAGGATATAGTATTCACAGAAACTTTGGAATCAAAATTACATTTACCAAATCATATTTTTTGGAGAAAGTGATGAGAGAATTCAAAAGTTTCTCCTTACTCAAAAAGGAGAAACTTTGGAATCATCTCATCACTTTCTTCAAACATTATGATTTGGCGAATGTAATGTTGAATGGCATTGCGACCTCTTTTATGCAGTTCTTATTTGGTCTTTTCTAAAGCATGAAAGCATCTTGGTTTTTCCGGGGAAGGGTTCGGCATTACGTGATTAATTGGTGAGTNTTTTTTTTTTTTTTTTTGGGGGGGTGGGGAGGGTGGGGGGCAATTGAGTGGTTAATTGGTGAAATACTAGTTTAATATGCCACAGCTACTAACTTTGCTAGTCTGATTTATGAGGAAGATGCCTTTGATTCAATATTCACCAACCTCTTGCTTTATAACTCAGCCATGGCCTCCTCCCCAATAAACTCAAGAAGATAAAAGAGGAGGCACTTCCCCTACCAAAATAAAAATAAACTCAAGAAAATAAAGAAGATTAAAGGAGGCAAAGCTTAGGACATCTCTCTTTGGTGTTCCTTAGTGAACAATAGATCTTTTTGTTGCAGGTGTATGCTTGCCTTTCCAGAAGAATTCAGAACTCTTGTACCAAACCTACTAATTGAAACAATGTCAGCTATTGGTATGAGCTTTGCATCACAGATTAACCTTGCCACTGGGGATGCTGTGCCAGAGACAAAAGCCTTGGCTAAAGGTGAGGTTTTATCATTCTTTAGGAGTTTTGAGAACCATGATCTAAACATAGACTTCTTGCTCTCTTGCATAGTTTCACGTAGTTTCATCCAAGTGAAAACGTTTATCATTTTTTTCTGATCTTACAGTTATGATGCTGCCTTCTCTGTTTCATTAAACATTCTGAAGAATCGGTGTCCAACTAGTTTCCAAGCATATAAGTGGCTTAAAGTAGTTATATATATGGAAGACTGAAAATTGAAGTTTCAAAGTGCAAATCAGCTATTTGGATGTCACTATCACCATTTTGTGCATGGAAAGAATCAGCTCTAATTACCTATTATTTTCTTTTTGGATGACCGAGGGTCTATTGGAAACAGCCGCTCTGCCCCATCGGGGTAGGAGTAACGTCTGTGTACACACTAACCCTCCGCAGACCCCACTTTGTGGGATTTTACTGGGTCGTTTTTGTTGTTGTATTCTTTTTGGATGACACTATCGGTATTCCTTTTGGATACTCAAAGTTCTTGGATATTTTTCATCCATCATGCCTCAGATTTTACATTAAATTTCAGGTATAATCGATATCTCAAATGGAGATTTGCCAAAAGGTGCCAAGATTCAGACTAAACATTTGGAGGCCCTAATTGAACTTCAGAGTACAACAGGGAGCTTTGCTAGGAACATTCAACACCTGTTTTCAGACGCTGATCCACAAGTTCTGTCGGATGCTCTGAAGGCAGTCTTCCTTCCTTATGAATCTTTCAAACGGCGGTAAGCATACAAAAAGCAAATATTCTTGTTTATCACCTTTGACTTCACAAATTCACATATTTTTTCCGTTGCATATGGCATCCCTTATCCAGATACCAAATTTTCTCTATTCTTCCTGGTTCTTCCTTTTGAAGAGCAGTGCTCTTAGTCTTATGTGAAGGTCTTTTATTTGATTGAAATGCATTTATATGGTGAGGTCGAGTTGAGTACCATTGCCATGTAAGTTATTCAGTGTTGGTCCTTTCAAGTCTTGGATTATTGAGTTGGAAAAGTTTTGTTCTTGACTAGGTGATTGAGTTGAAAAAATCTAATGCTTTTGATGAGGAGGTTTTTCTTTCATTTCTTTTCTGCAAGTGTTTTTAGGAATAATGATTAATTAATTTCTTGTGATATGCGAGATCTTACATCACACTGTTTCTGTTTGCTCTCTTACATCCTAGACCTTGATAATTTTATGCATAGCTGGAGCTGGTTGTAATAAATAAGTATTAACTCATAGGTCAATTAACATGGGTTTCCTGCTCAGGTATTGTCATCATCCTGGTACCATCAGACATGTTGAGTATTTACATGTAGAAATCTCAAAATTTGGTGGTTCTCTGAAACTGTTGAGCATTTTGTTCAAGTAGCTTGCCTGGTGCCGTATGAGGATCTTTATTGAAATCGCAAGGCCATCTGCTTTTGCGGTGTCAAGTATTAGAACACTAAATGCTTTTAAATTTGTGATCTAGATATGGACAAATGGAGCGTGCAGTTCTCTCTGGTGAGATTGCAGGCCTTGATCTCAGAGGAGCTGCTGTTACTCTTGCGGGAGTCCAGGGAGTTGAACTTAGTGAAACTGTACGAAGGATGGAAGAGTCAATTCCACACGTCATTTTGCTTCTTGAAGCAGCAGTTGAAAGATGCATCAACTTTACTGGTGGTTTTGAGGTGGATGAGCTAATTCTTGTGCTGGATGATGTTATGCTACAATACATTTCCACTTTGCAGGAGAACCTAAAATCATTGAGAGCTGTTTGTGGACTTGATATGGATGCTATTAGTACAAAGAAAGACTCAGCAGAAAGAAGGGAAGCAGCTCCAAATGCACGTAAAGTTGACTTCACATCAAGTGAGGAGGAATGGTCATTTGTTCAAGGTGCACTGCAGATCCTCACCGTTGCTGATTGTTTAACCAGTAGATCTTCAGTCTTTGAAGCTTCCCTCAAGGCTACTCTTGCTAGGTTGAGTACAAGTCTCGCTTTCTCAGTTTTTGGGTCAAGTGTTGATCAGAACCAACCAGATATAGTCAATGATGATGGAAGTGGGCAATTATCTGTTGCTCGAAGGGCGGTCTTGGATGTGGCAGCTGTGAGTCTATTGGATACTCCTGAGAAGGCTCGGAAGCTTCTTAATTTGTTGGAGCAGGTCAGTGGCTCCCACAATAGTTACACATATCTGGGAGCTTGTCTTTCTTCTTATTCGCTTAGCAATTGTATCCTTCTATTCCTTTAATGCGTCCTTGCCAATCTTCTTCTATGCAAATTTGATCTTACATTGATAACTTCTCTCTTGTGCCTTCTGCAGTCTAAAGATCCCAGGTTCCATGCACTTCCAGTAGCATCACAACGAGTTACGGCTTTCACAGACGCAGTCAATGAGCTTGTTTATGATGTTCTCATATCAAAAGTACGGCAGCAGTTCATTGATCTGTCACGCCTGCCCATATGGTCATCGGTTGAAGAACATAGTGCTCGGCCCCTTCCAACCTTCAGTGCATACCCCCAGTCTTATGTGACTGGTGTTGGTGAATATCTCCTTACTTTACCCCAACAGCTAGAGCCACTTGTAGAGAATATTTCCAACAGTGATCCCAATGCTGATGAGGCCCAGTACTTTGCAACTGAATGGATGTTTAAGGTATTGTTTTTTACTTGAATATTTTATGACGAACTGGTGAGCAAATACCTACAGGTATCCTCCTAATTTGGGAGGGGAAAAAAAGAAGAAAAAAAAAAATACCTACAGGTATCCGTGCTATCAACCGAGAGCTTTAATTCATCTGGCCAACAACACCATTACTCCATTTATAATGTTCAAATAAAAATTCTCTAGAATACCAAAGCCTGAACTAACATAAACTTTGGTAAAAGAAATTAAAATTATCACGAGGAAACATCTAGAAGCTGAGTTTGATTACAAACTACTTGTGGGGTGTGCATTGTTTGCTCTTTCTAGGAAATCATCATTGCTGAGACACTGACCAACTAGTTATTTCCGTGTCTCCAAATGTATTTTCTCTCACAACTATATGTTGACTAATTTTCCTTTGCCTTTATTGAAAAGGTTGCTGAAGGTGCCACCGCACTTTACATGGAACAGCTTCGAGGGATCCAGTATATAACAGATCGTGGAGCACAGCAGCTTTCTGTCGATATAGAGTATCTAAGCAATGTACTTTCAGCTCTATCAATGCCAATTCCTACAGTTCTTGCCACATTCCAGACATGTTTTTCAACACCTAAAAATCAGCTCAAGGATCTAATAAAAACAGATTCAGGGAATCAGCTTGATCTTCCTACTGCTAATCTTGTCTGCAAGATGCGTCGTATCAGTTTAGAATAATGACTACTTCTTAGTCATGCTGTTACAGGAATTGACCAAAACCAGACCCATTTGTCGTAGAGAGTTTGTTTTCCTTTTTCTTCGTAGATAATACTTGAGCCGAGGGTCTCCCAGAAACAACCTTTCTATTCCTTCGGGGTAGGGTAAGGTCTGCGTACATTCTACCCTCTCCAGACCCCACTAGTGGGATTTTACTGGGTGGTGGTTGTTGTTCATAGATAACGCTTATGTTTACTTTCAAGTCCTTGATAAAGTTTTTTACAAGTGCAGCTCTAGAGCTATATGTGAAAGATAAACATAGTGCGAGTTGGATCTTAATTTTGTCTCCTTTTCTTTTCTTTCGCAACCATAGGTTTTGTTTGTTTGTGCAATATTAGTAGAATTCCAGCGGAACAGATTGCTTTTGGTTATATTGTGGGTATTGATACCTCGTTGGGTATACGCCTAAGGGGTCGTTTGGTTGGAAAGAAGTTATTTCAGGATTAATTATTCCGAGATTAATTATTCCACCTTTCCTTGAGGATTTAAAATGGGGCATTTGCATCTATACCCGCTTTTTATGTTACATTTTAACTTGTGTTCGCTTTGCAAAAAAAATTGCAAGCGTACCCGTTTTTTCGCATAACTTCAGCACACGGGGCTGAAGTAGCAAAGACAATCACGCAAAACTTCAGCATTCGTTTTTGAGTTGTAACTGGAAACTTCAGCTCTAGAACTAAAGTTTTTGTGTTGTAACCGGCAAACTTCAACTCTTGTCTTTGTAACTGAGAATCCCACTATCAAGATGTTCTAGTTTTTGATGACTCACCCAAGTTTAGTTTACAGTTATTAGATTTTAACAAGCTCTTTTGCTTTAAACAAGCTCCATGCTCAATTCTGAGTACTCCTTATTCAAATGGAATTTATTTTTGTTCTTTCATTGACATGGTCATGTTTGTATATTGCTATTCAAATGTGAATTTTTTGTATCTCACGAATCCAAAATTTTGTTTTTGTATGTTGAAGTGTGATAAAGCAGGCGTATAAATGAAAAATGTCGCCAGGTGAGAAAGAAACTGACAAACATTCCATGTTATTTTGTTTAGTGTTGGGTATACTGTACAGAGTTGCTTGTTGTAAGTCATTTTAGTCTGGTGTTGTAATAGAGTTATAAATGTTGAACTCTATTCAAGTAAAGGGTCTAGTTAATTTGAGCGAATTTCATGAAGATGTACTGCGTTAAAAGAAGTTGAACCGCAGGTATTAAAAAGATACCACAGGGTGCAAACCTAGTAGAGAGAAAAACTGCACAAGAGGGCCACGGGAGAAGAAGAAAAAAGAAAATGAAGGAGGAGAAGGGGAGGAGAAAGGGAGCTGAAGTTGTTTAAAAGTGGGTACAAGTTAAAAGTTTAAAAAAAATGGATATACCTTAAATGGGGGCGACCAAATAGGGTGCCATGTGCAATTTTTACATTAAAAAATACTACAAATTAATCCTGAAATATCTTCTTTCCAACTGTCTACTGTCAAAAGTAATTCCAATAAAAAATTCTGCATAACTTATAAAATGTTTGATTAGTCGCGTAAAAGAATATTTACCGCATAATTTAACATAATGGGTGTGTTGGTATAACGGGAGGGGGGAGGGGGTT